ATCAATTAGAGAGAAAAGTAAAAGGACTAAGGTCCGATAGAGGGGGTGAATATACTCTAATTGACCTTAGTACATTTTGTGAAGAACATAGAATAATACATGAAGTGACTCCTCCTTATTCTCCTCAATCAAATGGGGTAGCTGAAAGAAAGAATAGAACCTTAATGGATATGACAAATTCAATGTTGACTAGTTTTGGCTTATCTGATAATTTGTGGGGAAAAACTATACTTAGTGCTTGTTTCATCTTAAATAGAGTATATGTTAAAGATAATGAGAAAACTCCATATGAGATATGGAAGGAAAGAGTTCCTAATCTTAGTATCATGAAAATGTGGGGGTGTTTAGATAAGGTAGCTATTCCTAAACCAAAGAGAAAAAAATAGGTCCTAAGACTGTAGACACCGTCTTTATAAGATATGCCCAAAATAGTAGCGGTAATAAATTCTTAATTATTAACTCGAAAATTAGTGAAATTTTAAATAATACTATAATTGAATCTAGAGATGCTACATTTTTTGAAGATATTTTTCCTTTTAAAAATACAATGCCCAGTCAAATAAGAGAAACACCTTCAACTAGTGATCAACCTGTAGAGAAAAATATAGAACAACATGTAGAGCTAAGGAGAAGTAAAAGACTAAGAATAGAGAAGGACTTAGGAGAAAGATTTTTACTTTTCTAGTAGAAGGAGAGCCAACGACATATAAAGAAGCTATATCCTTTATAGATGCACCTTTTTGGAAGGAGGCTATTAATAGTGAAATTGAATCTATATGCTTAATAATACTTGGGAGATAGTAGAATTGCCTCTTGGAAGCAAAGCTATTGGGTGTAAGTGGGTATTTAAGCATGAACTAAAACCTAATGGGAGTATAGATAAATATAAAGCTAGATTGGTGGCTAAAGAATTTACTCAAAAGAAAGGGATAGATGATTTTGATACATACTCGCCTGTGACTAGTATTACTATCATTAGAATACTGGTAGCCCTAATATCTATCCATAACTTAGTAATATATCAAACGGATGTCAAGACCGATTTTCTAAATGGGAATTTAGATGAAGAGATATATATGGAACAACCTAAGGGGTTTATGGTAAAAGGACAAGAATATAAGATTTGTAAGTTAGTGATGCTTTATATGACCTTAAACAAGCTCCCAAACAGTGGCATGAGAAGTTTGATATAGTAATTTTAGATTATGATTTTCAAATTAATGAAAGTGATAAATCTTTATACTATAAGGATAGTGATGTTGGTTGTGTGATTTTATATCTCTATGTAGACGATATACTAATTTTTGGGACAAACTTGGAAGTCGTTAATGATGTTAAATCTTATTTATCTACTAAGTTTGATATGAAAGATTTAGGAGAAGCCTATGTAGTCTTGGGAATAAAAATAGAGAAAACATCTAATGGAATATCTCTAAGTTAGTCTAGCATCATAGAGAAAATGTTGAAAAAGTTTGGTTTTTATGATAGTAAGTTTATATCAACAACATATGATCCTCATGTACATTTGAAGAAAAATAAAGGAGAACCGATTTCACAATTGAAGTACTCACAAATAATTGGATCTTTATTATACATAGCAAATAAGTCTACACCTGATAGCTCGTATGCCGTAGAGAGACTAAGTAGATATACACATAATCCTAGTAAAGAGCATTGAGTTGCCTTAGAGAAAGTCTTTATGTATCTTAAAAGAACTTTAGACTACTCTTTATCTTATAGTGAATTTTCTAGTGTAGTTGAGGGCTTTAGTGATGCAAATTGGATCATTGATAGTTTAGATATAAAATCCACTACTGGCTATGTTTTTGTGTTAGGAGAAACATCCATATCTTGGGTATCTAAAAAATAGACCATAATATCAAGAAGTACTATGGAGTTAGAACTTATAGCCTCAGATACCACATGTGTTGAGGCTGAGTGGATAAAGAATTTATTACTAGAGATACCTCTAGTAAAAAAATCTATACCTGCCATTTCATTACACTGTGATAGTAAGACAGTGATTGAGCTTGTGAACCAAAATCATAATAATAAAAAGATGAATAGACATATACAGGTGAGATATAAATCAATAAAGAAAATGCGGAGTAAAAACATAATCTCACTAGATTTTGTGAAGTCTGAGCTTAATATAGCTGATCAGCTAACTAAAGGACTTTCGAGGAAAGTTGTCTCAGAACTGTCGAGGAGGATGAGTTTAAGCCCACAAGGGAGTCACCTAAGGAGGTAACCCAACTTCTGTGATTGGGGACCCTATTAAGGAAGTTCAATGGGTAGAAACAATCCATACTGCGTGACTCATTAACACTGTAATTTAGGAAATATCCAAGAGGATATATTTTCCTGCTCATCCCTATGCCAAAAAGTGCATATGTAATGTGACGGTATAGAATGCTTTTACCCTGAATGAGACCGAGACAGGAAGACTCCTGCAGAGTATTGTGCACATGTATCCTTGGAGGGCTCACCTAAGTGAGAGCAGTCATGAGGTCGCAACTGTGAGAATTGGGCTATTTTCTAGAAACTCTTATGAGAATCAGGATCAAGTGCATGACCATTAATAGCACTGACCTGCGAATCTTGACCAATATCGATACTGTGTGTGTGACATGTTGAACTCTTATCCAAAAGATCCAGTTCAAACCTTTGGTCACTATGATCCTTCAGAGGAAAACTGTTAACCCTAATTAAGGTTCAAGTTCGGAAGACACCTACACCTATTGCACAGTATAATAATTACTCATATTTTATATATTAAAGTATATACAAAATATTTGAAATACTAGGAAGTTTCAAAAACTTGTGGGAGATTATAAGAATAAAATTAAGTTTTTAAATAATTTATTAAATTTTTATTTTAATTATGTTTAAATTATGAATTTTAGTTGCAAATTTTTTGTGTATATTCAAAAATAATAATTATTGACCTTAAATTTGGTTTAAGGGGGCTATTCAAGGCCAAACAGTCATGTGTAGGTTACACAGTAAGCCGACGGTCAAAACATTGAAAGTCATCATACACATAGTGGCTATATAAAGTGCTTTTTGAGAAATCTGTTTGAAGGGCAACGAAATCAAAACCCAGGAGACCTACTAATTCCTCATTTTATTCTTTCACACTTTACCTACCTTTTCAATTAATATTTTTTATTTTGGGCAATTGAATTCGAGTCAAATTCACCTTAACCTTCCAGTGTATATGACCATTAAAAAGTTACTGCTGCAAGCGCCTGGATTAGATCTTAGAGTCGCTAATATCCGTCCGTACCCTCACGTAGAGAGGTTCAATTGCTTTAGGATAGTGATTACACGTCTATTGGACTCGCAGACCAACTCTTTCTAAATAAATTTATTTGGTTTATATAGGTTGTATATTTATACATTTTCTGTATTTATTTAAATTGCATGCTATATTTTTAATAATCTAACTACTATTTGCATGCTTTGCATGCTTTATTTCAAAATTTAGATTATAACACTCGTAGTTATTTTATTTACATCATAATTCTAATAATTGTTGATTTGGCCAAAAGTTTAGTTGCAATTTTTATTGATTCCAATTATAAATCTATGCTTAAAATCTATAATTATTTTTTACAAATATTTGATCATATAATTTTCTCTACTTGTCCTCACAGCAATGATAATGCAATGAACTCATGACTTTAAAGTTCAACATCAAAAATGATGACGGTTAAAATGCAATGAACTTGCAACTTTAAAGTTCAACAAGAAAAACGATGACTGTTAGATCAACTTCTAATCACCATTGCACTTCAAAATGCAGGATCAAGTTGAATAGGTGATTCTTGGCAGTGATATCTGTGGGGTGGATCTTCTTAACTACCATTTTAAGAGCAGTAGTACTACTAGTCCCCCCACATTAATAAGGTTTGATGAGCCATTAATTTCAGAGTTTGACTATCTTCAACTGAGCCACAATGCGAAATGTGGATGTGTGGTTGAGGATATCACTAACACAATATCTAAATTTGCAGGAGAGAGATTGAGCCTAACCCCTTGGTTTGTAAGGGGAGTCTAGTTGGCTTAGTTTTAGTTGTAGTTTTATTTTTATGAAAAGGCAAAAAAATCCTAGCCTGTAGAGATGTAAGAGTAGTAGTTATCTAGCCGTTCGAATCATGCAAATATTCTCTTCCATATTAGGTTATTTTGAATCCCAAATAACTCTCTTGAAGATGTAACTTGAGTAAGTTTTGGCATGGTCTGAACTATGCTTTACTTGTAATTATTTAGATCAATGAAAACATATTTATCAGTCAGAAAAAAAAAAAAACATTCTACCTTTCGGGATGTGCCAGGAATAGTTAGTTTGTCAGGTTTTCTTCTATACAATGTAGTTTGTTTCGTTGAATTTTTCGTTCCCAATTATACTTAGGAGAGTATTCAGACATGTTTTGACTTACGTTGTATAACCAATTTTTCTTTATCAATGAAACCATTCTATTGATCAAACTCAAAAAATTGCAGGAGAGAGAATTTGGAGTGCCTTCATGTACATCTCTATATGGTAGGGATGCAATTATAAAGAAAAATATTCAGTACTTTGGGTAAAACTTTTCAGTACTTGAGCTGGGAAATTTGGACAATACTTGGATTGGGTCCAAACCCAATTAGTGGATTCGAGTTAAACATGACGTGGACCCGAATTATAACTTGAGCCATGTAATTCAAGAATTAAATTTAGGTTCAAATCAAATTTTAACCACAATTGAACACACCTTACAGCTCAAATTATTTAACATGAGAATTAAACCCCGATTTCAACCCAGATTTTCACCCCAAATGAGCAATACTCGGGTTGAAAAAGTCGAGGTCGAATTAGGGTCATATGTTTAACTCGGTTGAGAGTTGTATAATGAAACTGAGTTGCCTTCATTTGACCTCTCAAACAACCCAACCCACTCGAGTTGCACCTGTAAACTTTTCAATCATCGGGTGCCCATTTCATAAAGTGTCATTCATCTCTTTGATAAAGACTGTAATAGGGGACAGACCTGTACGAACTGTTGGACATGTTGCATCAGAAATTGCTGGTAGCCAGAGACAGTATAGCTTTGCTGGCGAATCGGTGTGGCAAAATAATTGATCACGAAATCGTTTGTACCGGCGCTAACAATGAACCCAGCCTTGTTAATGAGGTTTTTGGTTCTTCTCTTTCCAATAGCTGGCTCCAGTTTTGTTCTATACTCTTTGAAGTATTCTAGTTGTTTAGACATTGAAATTACACCCTGCAAAATGGCAAAATCACCAACATAATGTGTTGGGAATTAACTTCACAATAATTTGATCAGTACAATGATAAGAAAAAAAAAAGTAGAATAAAAAAAATCAAAGCACAACTCACAACATCAATATTTACGTGGTTCGGCAAAATTGTTTTGCCTACGTCCACGAGACGTGATCCGGTCTTCTTTCTTTACTATTGAGAGAAAATGAGTACAATGATATAAGCCTCACCACTTAGGTTTAAATCCCAAATCCAAGCCCTTAACCCCTTGTGTAACCCACTCAACCTTACCCTCTCAAATCCCCAGTAAAGAAAATCTCTCATACTCTCAACAAAAGAATAAAAATTGAACAAATACAATTTTCGGATGATCTCAAAACCAAAAGACCCATGTCTATTTATAAGTATCTCAAGGTGGTGGCAAATAAACTTCATTGCATTTAAACAATGCATTTGATTGCTCCACTTATATCCTCCAATAAGATTTTAGTAATGACATCGTCTAACCAATTACAAAGGAACTCTCATCTCAATCAAGCAATAAAATTGCTCCACTTTTATCTTCCAATCATATTTTAGCTATGACATCATCTAATCAATTATGAAAAATAGGCTATACCTTATATTGAGTAAGATGAACTGCATGTGGCCTAATTTATAATTGTGATTAGTTAAATGCAAAGACAAACTATGGTTACCCAATACCATTAATTTAGAGAATTTGCTTTTAATATAGATGAACTGCATGTTGAATCATGACTGCTAAATTCTCATTGATCAGTTGTCGTGGGCCGAACTGAAATATATCCGAATATTGTGCACAAAGTCGCATTGTTTTAATCTTGTGCACTTAGTTATCTTTTTTCTATGTTGTAGTATGGACACGAGTTGGACAACGCCTTTAATACTATATAAAACTTGTACAATCAAATCAAATCAATACCTCATCACTTTTCGAAAATTATGAGCCTTCTTAAGTAGGTGAGAGCTGTCTTTTTCATCTCTGAGAAGAAAAATTGATGGGAATGGTACCAAGCATATGGACACAATGTACTACCCGTATGTATCTGAACCATACATGATGCTATAATATTTGCAATCGAAAATCGATAAGTACGCTGTTAATGGTGAATGGAGATGTAGTTCTTAAAGATGATTAATGTTTAATTGTAGGACTATTTAGGAGTGGGCGTCGGGATTTGAATCTCATTATTATCTCAATTAGAAGGGCATATTATATAATGATATTGTCAATTGTGACATTAATATAATAGTTGTGACCTTAAAAAAAAAAAAGAGTTGATGCCAATTGAAATAGTTGTTGAATTATGTAAGAAACTCCATAGGTAAGGAGAAAAAGTGACATCAATACCATAGTTAAGAGGGTCAAAATGTCATTTTCCTTTCTTCTAGTAGAATTGTAAAAGCGGTAAAATTCAAAAAAAAAAAAATTAGAGCGGAAATGTTTTGAAAGTGTTACACTTTTCTCTCCATTTTCATTGTACTGTGCAACTAAACTTTACCTAGTATTAGAACATTTTTTTTTGGTTCCAAGCACGATTATTAACATAATAACATTATAACAGGAAGAAAATTATAAGTGACAACAGTGGTGACATCATTCATGCATCTCAAGACATCATCAATTCGAAGCGGCTATGACCATCATATTACTCGATTATAAATGGGATTCAACATAATATGCTTCATTTTTAATTTTTTGTTTATTTAAAAGGGTTTTTAATTTTTCGAATGTTTATTAGGAGTAAATTTATTATTTGACTTAAAAAATCACGATTTTTAAAAGATAATTGACTTTATTAATTTAAAAATTAATTTTATGGAATTACTTTGGTCATTAGTTTGGGGTAAAATTGATAATCCACATTTAATTCGCGAATTGATTTTTTAAGTTAACTGATTTGATAATTTGAATATGCAATATTGGTTTGTTCAATTTGCTTAATTTATTAGTTGAATTCGTGAATTTTCTTAGTCAAAGTCTTTAATTGGTAAACTTGAACTCGCAAATTGATAATTTAAATCCACTAATTCGTGGTGAATTCGCGTGCGGAGTAACGACCCGCACGCCTAGTCACATGAATTGTGTGACTCAGGTCATGTCTCATATATAATACATGCTTCACCCAAAAAAAATTATAGGAAAAATATTTTCCTTTTACTTGTCTAATTCTACATATCCACAACATATGAATTTGGTGTACAAATTTGAAAAAAATATATATATAAAATTGAGAAATTTATAACAGAATTCGATTATCATATAGGATTCTTGACGGGTTTATATAGTCACTCTATCGACATAAATAAATAAAACAATTAATTACTAGCATAATTCAAGCAATTAATTGTTTTACATTCTCTATATTTTTCATATGATAAAATCTTTTAATTTTCCTAATCACTTCTTAAATCACGCCTACTCAATCATGACCGTTCATGCGATGATCATCTCATGCTATTCTTTGAAGACAATATCAATGGTTGGACGTAAGGCCTCGAAAAGAATGTAGTATGCTGCTTCAGTTGGGTGTATTGAGTCCCAGAACACGTACTTGGAGGCATCTTTACAAACAGCTGATTCCGAGTTGCACATAAATGAAGTTTCAATGTATCCACTCCCACAACAACCAGTGCTAACCTCTTCAAAACCTGCAAAAAGTAAGCAAATAGGGGGTGAGAATTGGATCGTAGGGTTGGTTTCGTGTTTAATTGAGTCGTGTCATTTCATATTCGTTCTGATTATTTTATTAAAATCATAACATAATCTAGTTAATTAGTCGTCAGATGTTTAGAAACTGCAAGACATACTTATTGATTATGTCTTGTTCGGGTTGACTCGCATAGTTCGTGAACGAGAAACACAAGACTCTAAGCAATAGGCTCCCAATAATTAAATACCCAGTCAATCCAGATTCTACAAAAACCAAGTGAAAAATCTTCTATTCTATAAGGATTCTTACAATAGCCATTACCTTGGGTTGTCATATCAAAATCACATTATTTATATACGACAATGACACTTTTTTTCATGTACCTTTCGTATAACAAATAGTGTCATTTTTAGGTTCATAACAAAAAATAGTCAATCAGAACTTACTTAATGCATATTAACGTACCTATCGAAATTTGCCACCACTTAGAAGGAGCGAGGAGGAGAACAAAAGATGGGGGGGGTTGCAAGAACAACAATGAGGAGGATTGATTATGCTCACCAGAACTGTGCCCTTGAATCATGTTGCTCAATGGTTGGTATATGTCTGCATAAAAAAACCTAGTGCTGCTACCACTGTGCATGGCCTTGAGGTTTTTCCGGAGTATTTGATTGTAGTCTCTTGCAATGGACAATAAAGACTGCACACACTGACGTTGATGAAATATTGCATCTGGACTAAGGGTGATGACTTCAGGCAAGCAACCCATAGGAGGTAGCCCAACCATGGCTATCTTCTGAGCCCCCTCATTCAACAAACCCTACGGTAAAAATTATAAGTTTTAATTCATTAAATCACTATACTACAAACTAGTATATATAACTACACAAGTTATAACTTGTGCCTGAAGGCACGATAAAATATAAATTTTGATTATTTAAAAAATTAATCCTATTATACTAAATAATAATTTTTTATTTCTTCATTTATTTGATTACATTATTTAAAATTAATTTCTATATATTATTTTTTTAAAAATAACATCAAAATTTTCTCAAAATATATAAACCGACAAATTTTTTTTAACACATGTACATTATCTTGTATGGACAATATATGAAACAATAATTATATTAAACTACCAATCTTTTTTTACCCCATATTGTAGGGTGGATCTCGAAAGATATGAAAGATCTCCCTCTAAGCCGTACATACGACTTTCATCGAATACAGCTTTCCGCATAATTCTAAACATGTGACAGAATTATGTGATGAGATGATTTTGGGAGGAAAAATATGTGGAATAAAAATTTAAACTTCTAGATGTTTCAGTAATTTTTTTTTAATTTATTATTTATTAGTCAAGTAAACGTCTAAAAGCAAAAATATGTGTGGGATAAAAATTCAAACTTCTAGATGTTTCAGTAATTTGTTTTTAATTTATTATTTATTAGTCAAGTAAACGTCTAAAGCAATATTCAGTCTCTTATAACAGCGCCTGATAGAGATAAGTTGTATAATTTTGCATTAATTTGGAAAAAAGTTGTTTTCTTACATAAATTTACAATGTTTTACTTGGACGGATAAACACTCATTGTCCTTCTAGGATCCGCCTCTTCGTCGAGTAATCACTAACAAATATTATTTTGCAATGAGTTTTCTGTCATTTTCCTGATATCCTATATGTAAGTACTCGGGTAATCCGTGCCTGAAGGAACGGTGCAATGTAAATAATTTTTAGAGGGATGTTGGTAACCGTTGAATGAGTCAATTTGAGTCTACTTGGATTAGGCTTAGGTAAAAATTTATTGGTCTAATTTAAATTTAGGCAATACTTAGGTTCAAATCACAGGTTCTCAATAATGCACTTAACCGAATTAGACTATACTCGCGTTGGACAGGAATTTATTTGTTGTGGTTGTCATTGATAAAGACCTGGTATAGGGGAACAGACCTGTATGAATTGTCGGACAAGTTGCATCAAAAATTGCTGGTAGCCAGAGACAGTGTAGCTTTGCCGACGAATCGGTGTGCCAAAATAATTGACCACAAAATCGTTTGTACCGGCGCTAACAATGAATGCAGCTTTGTTAATGAGCATTGTAGTTCTTCTCTTTCCAATAGCTAGCTCCAGTTTGCATTTATACTCTCTGAAGTATTCCAGTTGCTTAGACATTGGAATTACACCCTGAAAAATGGCAGCAAATTCATCAAAAATCAGTGCAGCCGATTGCGAAACTTAGCATAAATTGTGTAAAACCAAAACCCAGAATTAAGAGAGAGAGAGAGTTGTTGGAAATCAATTGTTTTATTGAAGTGGCTAAATTGCACGAAGGCCTAACACTTCAATAAAACAATTGATTAGAGTATTTTTATTTTAATTCAAAAACAGGCAAGCATTCCTTTTTATTCATGATTGAGAAAGTTTTTGTATATATTTATCTCGGCTTCTTGTTGCTGACATACTTCTTAATTCATGCAAAATCCAAACCATTCCTAACTGCTAGGAACTTTTGCTCATTTGTTGAAGCAAGAGAGCAAAGTTATGTCATTGACAAGAGTGTTATGATAATATGCATGAGAGAGAGAGAGAGAGAGAGAGAGACGCTAATCATCGGTGTCAATGGGTCGAACCCAGAGCCAGCTGAGGCAAAACTAACTCCAGTCATCAGCTCCTCAATGCTAAGCGTTGGGTCCAAATATGGTGGCACATAGTCTTTGACACCTAAATATGAAGCTGTTCCAAACAAATAATATCATATTATTTGCACTCATAAACTGCCATTTTGCATCAAACTACACCCAAAAAAAAAAACAAAACCCTAAGCTTACCGATAAAATCAGTCACGAGACGCCCATTGCTAAACCTTCCGGTTGGAGTGTGATTAACAAAGTCTCTCCCATAGGGTGGAAAATTGCTCTTAAAAGGAGTGCCTATGTAGTTATTGTTTCCTGGATCAACCGTCGAGTCTCCAAAGACAAAAATAATCGAAATTGAATTGTTGAAAGACTTTAAGGTTCGAGCTTGAGATATCGAGATCAGAATCGCCACAATGAGAACAAAAAAGAGGGTTGAAAGAGTTAAGGCATGTGTGCGTGGAGAAGTACCCATGGTTGTCGACACTCTGAGAATGACTGGAAAATAGAGCTTATCTTATATTGAATGGGGTGAGCTGCATGGGACCTAATTTAATTTTGTGTACAGCTCTAATAAGTGTTAGTTATATGCAATTACAAACTTTGGTTACCCAATACTATTAAATGGTGATATTGCTTTAAATGTGTTACTTTGCTTTACAAAAAAAAAAAATCTCGTGGGCCCTAAAGTTCTCTATCTCCATTGCCTCCTTTGCTCTTTGGAAGAGGAGTGCTGATCTGTAACTATAAGTGTGGATTGATACACCGAAGTAGGTAGAAACGATGGTATGACAAATGAAAAGAGAAAATGAAAATAAATTGTCAATTTGCGCATACGTACCATTCAATTTGTGGTGGGTTAAACTTCACACTCCAAGGTTCAGTCCAATAGTACCGCGATTAGATCTATATTGGACGTTATGGGATTTGGTTTAATTAAATCGATAAATTTTTAAACTTAGAAAATTACAGGAGAGTCCAAGTATTAAATGGTGTTAACAATTTTTGTCAAAAGACAATTTTACCCTCTATAAGACTAGTTAAGGGTCCAAAATCATATAAATAAAAGCAAACTTAATTCATGCTTATTGAAGCATCTCCGGACTCGACATCAAATGTGGAGATTTCTCCTCTTCAGCCACACGCAGATAAAGATCAACTCAAAGACTTAGACTTCACTAAGGACAAGACTTCTCCATGAGATTATGACAAAAAAAAATGCATTAGTAATTGAGTTTTATATAAACACTTATTTTGTAAATTACTATTATATATACATACTGCTTGCTCCTTGATAGGTGAAGAAGCCACTGATATTTTACTGGTTTTGTTCCTTTAATGCTAAGACCCAAACCTAAATCCATATCCATATCCAATCAATAGAAAATCTTTCTTTCTATCATGTTTTCGTTCCCCCATTTTCCATCCACAAAACTTTCCATTATAAACACTTATTTTGTAAATTACAATTATATATACATACTGCCGGCTCCTTGATTGGTGAAGAAGCCATTGATATTTTACTGGTTTTGTTCCTTGAATGCTAAGACCCAAACCTAAATCCATATTCATATCCAAACAATAGAAAGTCTTTCTTTTTCTCCCATTTTCGTTCCCCCATTTTCCATCCACATAACTTTCCATTAAATCAAACACACGATTAAGTTTATGGCATTATCTACGAGAAACAAACGATAGACCTTCCTTTTTTGCATGTGCCTCTAAATTTCTATATAATAAGAGAGTTAAGCATTTAAATTTTATCTCCACATATTTTTTTTATTCCATTTCTATCACATCACCAATTTTTATCAAAAGTTGAATCGTCTAATTTTTTTATTAATTTGTAACTCAATACAATTATTATTTCAAGCATTTATCATATACAATGATGTATATTTTTTTGATATATTTTTTGAGGTCATCTATTTTGAATTTTTTTTGTTTTAAAAAATAATGGGTAAAAATTTTTGAGAGACATAAAAAAAATACTATTTTTTATAGTGAGATTGATTTTTTTAACGCTTAGATTTTATGTTAAAACGTGCCTTCAGTATTTAATATTCAATATTTACTTACCTTGTTGACTGTCACATCATTTCGATTTATTTTTTGATCAATATAGTATTATTATGTCCCCATAATATTAATAATTTTCCACCTTATGCGTTTTTGGAAGAATCCCTATCAAGATCCAGACGGGCAAATATGAGCTCAATAATAAGCAATCAAAAGCAAAAAATGTCAAAGTGTAAGGCTTCACCTTTTGAATTTTGGGAATCGTAGAGAAATAACATAACACAATATTAGAGAGAAAGAGAGATTAAAAAAAACTTAATCTAACTCTCATACATCACTTGTATTTATAGTTAACACACAATAATAAGAATTACACATGCATCCTTTTACTAATAACAATTTAGACATACTACCGTAATACTCTTAACACTCCCCCTCAAGTTGAACTATATATATCATATAATCCAAGCTTAGAATAAATCGCTATAAGACGTATATGACTCAATGATTTGGTAAACATATCTGCAAGCTGATATTCAGATTTCACAAATGGAGTTGTAATCTCCAAGCTACTATGTTATCTCGAATAAAGTGACAATCGACCTGAATATGTTTGGTTCTCTCGTGAAACACCGGATTGATAGCGATATAGATAGTTGTCTGGTTGTCACAGAACAACTGTAAAAGAAGTTGAACTGAAAACCCAATTTTCTGAAAGAAGTGAAGTAGTCAAGTCAACTCACTCGTCGTACGCGTTATTGCCCTATACTCAGCCTCAACACTGGATCTTGTTATCACGGATTATTTTTTACTTTTCCATAAGACAACGTTACCTCTTAAGAAAGTATAATAACCAGTGGTTGACCTCCGATCAGAAAGAGAGTCAGCCCAATCAGCATTTGAGAAACTTTCCACTATAAGATGTTCATTAGCTTGATATAACAGTCCAAGTCTAGGAGCTCGTTTGAAATATCGCAGAAAAATACGAGTAACTGCCTCCCAATATGGCACTCTAGGATACCCCATGAACTGACTTACTATACTGACAACAAAAGAAATATTCGATCGAGTAATAGTGAGATAATTAAGCTTCCCAATCAATCAACAATGCTGACTCGAATTCTCAAACAGTGCATCATTATCCATCAATAATTTTTGATTCGGATCCATAGGAATATCAATTGGTTTGTCATCTAGCAAACCTACTTCATCTAGCATGTCAAATACATATTTCCTTTGTGATAAACAAATACCCTGTTTAGATCGAGTCACTTCAATTCTCAAGATATCCTGAGTTTTTCAAATCCTTAGTATGAAATCTATCTTGCAAGAAGATTTTTAAATTAGCGATCCCCTCATAATCATTTTCAGTGATCACAATATCATCTACATAGACCATGAATAAAACATATCCAGCATCCGTTTGTCTATGAAACACAGAATGATCTGTCTGACATCGAAGAAGATCAAACTTTAAAACTGCATCTTAAAATTTACAAAACCATGCCCTCGGTGACTGCTTCAAACCATACAAAGATTTCTTTTAACAAACATACACTCTTGCCATACTCCCCTGAGCAGTAAACCCAGGTGGCTACTCCATCTATATCTCTTCAACCAAGTCACCATGTAAGAAGATATTCTTGACATTTAACTGAAATAAGGGCCAATCAAGATTAACAGCCAAAGAAATCAAGATACGAACAGAGAAAAATTTGGCAACATGAGAGAAAGTCTCCTCATAATCAACACCATAAATCTGAGTAAAAGTCCTTTGCAATAAGCCGGGTTTTGAGACGCTTCACAGAACTATCTGGATGAAATTTCACAATATACACCCAACGACAACCAACCGTGGGACTCATAGAATGGCAGAGGCAAATAGAGCTTTTACACATTTTCGTTAATCCATGAACAGGATCTTTCGTTTACCAGAAGGTAAACGAATGAGATCTCAAGTCTTATTATGATGTAAGACATCCATCTCATCCTCCATAGCGTTCCTCTAACCTGGATCAAATAATGCATCTTGTAAATACTTAGGAATAAATATAGTAGATAATTGAGAGGTAAAACAAGAGAAGACAGGAGACAAGGTATCATATGAAACAAAATGAGTAATAAGATGATTAGTAACACACAAATGAGTACCTTTTCGAAGAGCAATAGATAAAGAGTCTAAATTACCTAATGAACCAAGATTAGAAGGTGACAAGGAAGATGGTACGGGCACCTTAGTCGATAGTTGAGGACAACGAGAGGATACACGAAGAGGTAAAGTAAATGGTAACATAGTGGACAGCGAAATATCTGAAGATGAGAGAAGAGATGGTGGTATAAGAGGTGACCCAAAGTCCAGATCCACGAGCTGAAAAGGTGCTGAAAAATATGGAACAGATTCCTCAAATGTGACATCGGCACTAGTAAAGTATCATCACAGAGAAGGGCTGTAGTAATGATATCCCTTCTGTGTGCGAGAATAACCAATAAATACACATTTGGTAACTCGATGGTCAAGTTTATTAAACCCAAGACCAAAATTGTGAGCATAACAAACACATCCAAAAACCTTAGAGTTAAGAAAAATAAGGGCTTACAAGAAAAAATGACAGAATATGGACTTTGTCCATTTAACACAGAGAATAACCTACGATTAATATGGTGATAAGAAGTAAGAATAACATCACTCCAAAAATATCTGAGAATATTCATCTGAAATAACAGGGCACGTGTGACTTTCAATAAATGACGGTTCTTGCGTTCAGCAACACCGTTCTGTGGAGATGTGTAAGCACAGGAAGTCTGATGAATAATGTCAGTTTTACTGAAATATGTTGAATAAGAATCAGATTCATATTCTCGATCATTATCAGAACGTAAAATACGTATACGATAACCATATTGAGTTTTTACTTCTTACGAAAGGTCTCAAATATAGAGAATAATTCATACTGAGCCTTCATAAAAAACGACCAAGTCACACGAGAATAGTCATCCACAAATAACACAAAATAAGAATATTTATTAGATAAAATATTCTTTATTGAACCTCATACATTAGAATGTACCAACTCAAATGGACTAGACGCACGATTATTGACTCTAGACTGAAATGACACACGGTGATGCTAACTAAGTTGACAAGCTTCACATGACAAAAACGACACACAACTAAGGCTGGGAACTTGACGCTTCAAATTCTGGAGAAAGGGATGTCCAAAACGACAATGCCATTAGAAAGGAGACAACGAGTTCTATAGAGCCCGAGTAGGTGAATCAAAATCAAAGTAATATAGGCCACCAACTTCATGCCCTGTACCAATCTACCTCTTCGTCTTGAGATCCTGAAAGACACAATAAGAGAGATAAAATATTATAGAACAATTGAGAGAACGGGTAATCTTATTAATGGAAAGTAAACTAAAAGGAAACTGAGGAACAAATAACACGGAAGATAGGGACATATTAGGACTCAAGTGAATAGTTCCCAAACCTGAAACTTTAGAACA